CTCCTCCTCTTCTTCTTCTTCTTCTTCTTCTTCTTCTTCTTCTTCTTCTTCTTCTTCTTCTTCTTCTTCTTCTTCTTCTTCTTCTTCTTCTTCTTCTTCTTCTTCTTCTTCCTTCTCCTCCTCCTCCTCTCCACAAACCCCTCTCTCTTCTAGCACTGATGATGTTACCTAGTTGGGTCATGAACATCTGCAAGAAAACCACCAAGCTCAGAGAGCACCAAGGACCCCACAGTCCTCCTCCTCCTCTCTCTCCTCCTCCCTCCCTTCTCCTTCTCCTCTCCCATCTCTTCCTCCTCCCTGCAAATTCCTCTCCCTTCCAGGACTGATGATGTTCTCTGATTGGGTAATAAAATGTCTGCAAGAAAACCGCCAAGCTCAGAGAGTCCCAAATCCAATCCTGAGCAACAAATGTTCTCTTCTGTCCATAGAGCTTGCAGCTCCCAAACCTGACTTAGGCAGAGGCAGGGGAGGGGCACCCAGAAGCCAGAAGCAGCAGGAGCCCAGAAACTGAAGAATCTACAAATGCAAGTGGCTTTCTCCCCATCAATGTCAGGTTCAATTCTCGAATGCAAGGTTGAGAAACAGGTTTAAAGGACCCCTTGTCCTTCATCCTTCTAAGATGCAGACATCCCTTTTGAACTGCCCCCCCCATCAGCAACGAGGCCTGTTTTGGTCACGTAAATATAAGTGCGATAAAATCTCCACCCTATGGCTCCATGGTAGCTTAAGCAGAGAAAAAAAAAATGCATTATTTTCCAAAACACCGGGAGACTTGCATTAAACGTGAAAAATAGGTGGCGACTCGATCACATTGCTCTTGCCACCATCTTGACCAGGGGTGTCAAACTCAATTTCACTGAGGGCCGCATCAGCATTGCGCTTACCCTTGGGGGGCCGGGTGGGTGTGGCCAGAGTGGGTGCAGCCTACTGGGTGGGCGTGGATGGAGTGGGTGTGGCCTACTGGGTGGGCGTGGCCAGTTCTACATCATTCGCATCAAGGGTGCCTGTGGGGAAGTGGGCAGGAGTGGGACAGATCTGAGGGTCTCTGGCAGAAGGGGGTGGGACCGGGGCAAGTGCCAAGGCATGGTCCACTGGGACAAGTGCCAAGATGGCCACCACAAAATTGTACATTGGCTCCCGGCTGGTCTGGGCCAGGGCCAAGGCAGCGGGGGCCGTTCCCTCACTGTTTCCAGGATGGCTTCGCGGGCCACAGGAAACCACTTTGCGGGCTGCATCCGGCCCCCGGGCCTTGTGTTTGACATGTCTGATCTTGACTTTTTTGACCTAACCTGGCAGACACGTAGGCCCCAACAGAGCCTGTCTCGGCCCAAATCTTGTCTTTTATGGACCCCCAGCCCCAGCCCCTCTTTCTGCAGACTGTCAACCTGGCGACGGAAAGGAGCCCACACAAGCACATCCGCAAAGGTTGTAATGAAATGGTCACATTTAATGAGTATCTTCTCTGCTTCTCTGCCTTCCGGTGTGGGTGCGTGTTTTGTGTGTGCACGTTGAGTCTTAAAATTTTTATGTACATCTATAAAAAGTTCAAAGACGGCGTACGATCCAGGGGGGGCGTAGAAGGGCTTACGGTCTTAAATGCTGCACCCCGACGGGAGAGGGGGCGAGATCCGAAGTGGGGCTGGGGCAGGGGAGGAGGGGAACATTACAAAACAGGGGTTGGGGAAGCAGGATGAGCTGGGGGGGGTGAGTAGGGTGTCTCGGCTTACTTACAGAACCCCCCCCTGGTGTGGATCCCATCCTCCACCCTCCACCCCGTAATAAGAGCAGTACAGAAACCCCAATGATCCTTGTATAAACTGAACGGACTCTGTTACAAAGAGGGGGAGACAAGAGGGTGGTCCAGGAACAGCCCCCATCTTTCGGCAACAATGATGTCAGTGCAGGCAGAAAAAGACCCCTCCCCTCTCAACCTGTTATATGGAAGTCCTGGGGCTCACGAGGGGAGCGTCTGGGAGGGTCCCCACCCTTGTTTCCTTGTTTTGCTCGGCTGAGGTCTCACAAGTTCATCTTCTCACAGTTCAGAAAAGCGGAGAGCTCCCAGCTTGGTGTGGCCCCCCCGGGGGGGTGTCTCTGGTCTGGGCTGCCCCGTCCACACGCTTGAGGGTCCTGCCTTGGCGGCTGAAGGAAGCATCTTTGGCTTGGTGGCTTAGCTGTATGATCCGAGCCCAAGGCCGGGTGCTCCTCCCTGGCGCGCTCCGGAGGGCCGCTTCCTCATTCCCCACCCGCCCTCGGTCTGGCATGAAAAGGGCTCCATCCAGGGCAGGTTGTGGTGGGTGGGCGAAGGGGGAGCCGGGGACGCCCGGGTCTCCCGAGGACTCGTCCTTCCAGGAAGCGAAGCCATGAAGAGAAAGAGACGCATCCTCCAGACCATGTGCAAAACAGAGGGAAAGAGAAGACGGTCGCTCGGGTGAGTTTGGTGGCCTTCGAGTCTGGAAGAAGGAAGAGAGAAGGAAAGGCTGCCTTCTCCGCCTCTCGGGCAACCTCAGGGCCAGGCTGAGGAACATGGGCCTTTTTTTAAAGGGACCCCGATTCTTTATCTCAGTGGTTCTCCACCTTTTTAATGCCGCGACCCCCAACCGGTCGTAAGTCGAGGACTAAACCGGTCATAAGTCGAGGACTAAACCGGTCGTAAGTCGAGGACTACCCAACCGGTCGTAAGTCGAGGACTTTCCCTGCCCGGGAGCGCCGCGCATGCGTGGTTCCGCCCCCTGCGCCGGCCGAGGCGTAGCTGGCAAGCGGCAGAGATGGAGCAGGCCGACCACCAGCTGGCCCAGCTCAAGGGAGGTAAGGCACCCGCCGGAAAAGGGGGAAAAAAAATGGCGGACAGCCTTGCTTGGCGACCCCCGTGAAATGGTCAATCGACCCCAAATGGGGTCGCGACCCATAGGTTGAGAACTGCTGCTTTATCTGCTCTGCCAACAAGTTTAGTTTATGTTTTATTCTTTCCATTTCTCTTTTCAAAGTCTTTTTCTGCGGGTTTTTCTGTAGTTCCTGATTCTAGTTTTCCAATTTTTTCTTTTAATACTACGTGTTGCTGTCTTCTCTGTTTATTTTCCTTTGCCCTATATCCGGGGTGGCGAACCTATGGCACGCATGCCAGAGGCGGCACGCAGAGCCCTCTCTGTGGGCACGCGCGCTGTCGCCCCAGTCCTAGGCCTTCAGCTGGGTTTTATAAAACCTTTTCGCTTTAGGCCTCCGCCGCCGTGTGCAAAAAAAAAAAAGGGTCAATCAATCAATTTCAACTTCTTCCGGGGAAAAAAAAAGATCTTGCAAAGTTGGAATTGATTGATTGAACTTTTTAGTCCCACCCAGTCTGCCGTTACCACCGCAGCCACGCCCACCCAATGGGCCACGCCCACCCAATGGGCCACGCCCACCCGACACCCGATGATACATAAGTGGGTTTTGGGTTGCAGTTTGGGCACTCGGTCTCTAAAAGGTTCGCCATCACTGCCCTATATGTTATAGCTATGCCTCTAAAGTATGCTTGAGCTGTATCCCATACATTTTGTAATGTTGTGTCTTCCTCTTTATTTTCTTTAAAGAAGAGCTCCATTTCTTTTTTCGCTAATTCTATAGGGACCCTGATTCTTATTCTCGGGGCGAGTGTTAGGGTTGTTATTTCTAATCTGGTCAACAACTGGACAGAAACTTTGTCAGAAGTTTAGAAAGACATGATTGGCCCAGAACAGGGGTAGGCAACCTTGGCTCTTTTATGACTCGTGGACTTCAACTCCCAGAATTCCTGAGCCAGCCATGCTGAGGGGAAAGAGAGAGGTTTCCAAGCTGAGCCATGCTGGCTCAGGAATTCTGGGAGTTGAAGTCCACGAGTCATGAAGGGGCCATAGTTCCCTCCATGCTGGCTCAGGAATTCTGGGAGTTGAAGTCCATGAGTCATAAAAGAGCCAAGGTTGCCTACCCCTGGCCCAGAAGAAACTACAAGTAGTCCGTGACTTACAATCTCAGTGGAGCCCAACATTTCTGTGGCTAAGTGAGACATTGGTTAAGTGGTTTTTGCCCCATTTTAGGACCTTTCTTGTCACCTGTTCTCTTCGCCTCCTCCCTTCTTGGTCTGTCCTTGAACCCTCTTCCCACCCCAGGAAAACCCTTGCTGGACAAGATACTCACTAGATTAAGTGAAGGGCGAAGGCCACCAAAGCCAGGCCTGGGACCACAGAAGGTGACACGGCTTCATCGCTGCTTTGTTCCTCTGAGTCATAGATCCTGGTGGTGGGGGGCGCCTTGAACGTGGAGGTGGTGCTGGTGGTGGTCTCTGCAGG